GTATCTAGACTTAAACCCCCAATTCTGACCATGACCAGCGGAGGCCTCCTTCATCTGTTCAACTTCCCCTCTCCACCGTGAGCACCATGCTGCAATCTTAAGTACGACAAGCTCATTCCCACTCTAGTGCCTTGGCCCCAACTCTTCCTCCGGCTTCTAGTCCTGTCATCCCAGACACTGACATTGCCAGGATCCGCATTGTTCAGATCTCAGCCAACTTAACTCTCCCCAGCGACGGTTCCATATACAGTAGTGCGTTACTCTCTTCCCCCCAACCCCCACCCGCCGCTAACTCTTACGCTTCTGAAACTATTCTTGGTTTTCTCCGTAGCCACTCACATCTGAATTTCTTGTTTATTTACTGATTCTATATCTTCTCCATCATAATGTCACCTCCGTGAGAGCAGAGACTTCGTTTTGTTCTCTGTGCCCAGAATAGTGCTTGACACAGAGTAGTTGCTCATCCAGATTTTAAATTACATGATGCAAATAAGTGTTTTCTTCTGCTGTGAGAACCCCCTGGGAGAGGAACTGTGGAGTTACATACTTGTATATTGGTCTCAAGAGTGTGAGCTATGGAGTCTTTTTTTTTTTTAAGATTTTTATTTATTTGTCAGATAGAGAAGAGAGAGAGAGCACAAGCAGGGGAAGTGGCAGGCAGAGGGAGAAGCAGATTTCCCTGTGGAGCAAGGAGCCTGATTTGGGACTCGATTCCAGGACCTGGGATCATGACCTGAGCTGAAGGCAGATGCTTAACTGAGCCACCCAGGCGTCCCAAGAGCTGTGGAGTCTTAAAGAATCTTGCAAAGACTTTTCAGTTGATAATTAAAAAATATATAGAGAGAGAGTTTATTTTTTTAGAGCAGTTTAAAACAGCTCCTAGCAAAGTTGAGCAGAAAGCAGCACGAGTTGCCCTATACCTCTGTCCCCGTGCATACACAGCCTTTCCCACTACGGACATTCTGCACGAGTGTGGTACATTTGTTACAATTGATTAATCTGCATTGACATGTCGTTATCACCCGAATCCATATTTTACATTAGAGTCCACTCTTGGTGTTGTATATTTTATGGATATGTTTTATGGATTTAAAAAATGTATTATGACCTATATCTGCCATTATAGTATCATACAGGATAGTTTTACTGCCCTAAAAATCCTTTGTAATCCTCCTGTTCGTGCCCTTCCCCACACCCAACTCCTGGCAACTTTTTACTTTCTCTATAGTCATTTCCAGAATGTCCTATGATTGAAATCTTACAGCATATAGCCTTTTCCGACTGGCTTCTTTCACTTATTAATATGTATTTAAGTTTCCTCATTTCTCTTCATGACTTGATAGCTCATTTCTTTTTAGTGCTGAATATTATTCTATTGTCTGAGTGGGCCACAGTTTACTTATCCACCTACTGACAGACATTTTGGTTGCTTTCAAGTTTTGGTAGTTCATAAAGCTGCTATAAACATCTGTTCACAGGTGTTTGAGTAGACATAGTTTTCAGTTCATTGGGGTGAATACCAAGGAGGCCAGTTGCTCACTCTTACCCTGAGGGTATGTTTAGTTTTGTAAGAAATCACCAGACCAAGTGGCTTTCCAAAACAGCTGTATCATTTTGCATTCCCACCAGCAAATGAATGCATGTTCTCTTATTCCATTATTGTTGTCAGCTTTTGGTGTTATCAGTGATCAGTAGATTTTGGCCATTCTACTAGGTGGGTAGTAGTATCTTGTTTTAATTTGCAGTTCCATGACAAATGATAATGAGTGTCTTTTCATATTCTTATTTGCAATCTGTACATTGGTGAGGTGTCTGTTCAGATCTTCTGGCCATTTCTTCAGTAAAGTTTTTTTTTAAAAAAGATTTAATTAATTAATTAATTTATTTATTTATTATGAGAGATCATAAGTAGGCAGAGAGGCAGGCAGAGAGGGGGAGGGGGAAGCATGCTCCCTGCTGAGCAGAGAGCCCGATGCGGGGCTGGATCCCAGGACCCTGAGACCTTAGTCCGAAGGCAGAGGCTTAACCCACTGAGCCACCCAGGGGCCCCTGTTGTTGAGTTTTTAAGAGTTCTTTGTATTTTGAATTACAGTCCTTTATTGAACATGTCTTTTGCAAATATTTTGTCCCAGTTTGCAGCTTGTCTTCTTATTCTCATGACAGTGTCTTCTACAGAACAGTTTTTAATTTTTCTGAAGTACGGTTTACCAGTTATTTCTTTCCTGGGTTGTGCCCTTGGTGTTGTAACCAAGGAGTCATCACCATGCCCAAAGTCATCTAGATTCCCTCTTATGTGCCATTCTTCCTCTTCTGAGAACCAAATTATATTTATGTTACACTGATCAGTAGTATCTTACAGGCCATTGGTGCTGTTTAATTTATTAGTAGTCTTTTTTTCTCTGTGTGCTTCATTTTTGGGTAGTTTCTATTTCTGTGTATTCTAGTTCATTGATTTTTTTTTTCTGCAATGTCTAAAGTGCTATTAATCTCATTCAGTGGGATTTTTTAATTTCAGATACATTTTTCATCTTTAGAAGCTTCATTTTATTTATGTGTACGGAAGATATGTATATGTGAAGGAACAGGAAGATATGTATACATCTTATATATACACATATGTGTCATATATCATATGTGTCATATATATCTTTCATTTCTCCGTTTCTTTTTTAATAAGATTTTAGTTTTTAATTTATTTTATTTTTCATTTTTTTTAAAGATTTTATTTATTTATTTGAGAGAGAGAGCAATAGAGAGCACAAGTGGGGAGGAGAGGGAGAAGCAGGCTCCCCACCAAGCAGGGATTTGGACGTGGGACTAGATCCCAGGACCCTGGGATCATGGCCTGAGCTGAAGCACTTGATTAAGTGACTAAGCCACCCACGTGCTCCAGATTTTTTTTTTAAAGATTTATCTTTGAGAGAGTGGGAGACAGAAAGAGAGCACGAGAGGGGGAGGATTAGAAGGAGAGGGAGAGAAGCAGACTCCCCACTGAGTATGGAGCTTAATGTGGGGCTTGATCCCATGATCATGACCTAGCCAAAACTAAGAGTTGGATGCTTAACCAACTGAACCACCCAGGTACTCCCATAAGATTTTATTTTTAAGTAATCTCTGTACCCAACATGGAGCTCAAACTTACAACCCTGAGATCAGGAGTCATAAGCTCTACCAACTGAGCCAGCCAGGCACCCCTCTTCTCGGTTACTTCTCAAGTGGCTGCTGGATAGTGTGAATTTATTTTTTGGGTATCTGATTTTGTTAAATTCTTTTAAATAATGTTGGGCTTTGCTCTAATGACTAGTTAAATTATCTGGAATAACTCGGATACTTTGGAGGCCTGCTTTTAAGCTATTAAGTGGATCTAGGGCAGCCTTTGATGGAGAACTAATTTAGTTCTGCTGCTAAGATGATGCTTTTCCAAGGACTCTATCCATTAGCTTATGTGGGAGGAGCCATTCTCACTTCTGAGAACACAAAATATCCCCAGCCCTGTGTGCACTCGGAGATTTGTTCATCCTGTGATTTGCTGGCGCTTCTTTTCCTGCCCTTGGGAAGTTTCCATTCACACCTGCAGAAGTCAGTGCCCAGCCAAAGACTTGGAAGGAGCCCTTCTGCACATGTCTGCTTATTTTCTGTCTGTACAGGTTCTCCTATTCCAGTATTCTGTTTTACAAATCCTTGTTGTCTGGCTTTCCTAAACTCCCGTCTCTGTCTTCACAATTCATCAAGATGGAAAACTGAAAATTCTGGGTTCTCTTTGACTCTCTCTCCCTTCCCCCACCACCACTCTGGCTTTGCAGCTGTTGCAGGGAGTAAGCTAGGGCAATTTTAGCCTCACCTATTTTGTTTCTCCATCTTTGGGATTGTCTCTTGCTCTCTTTTCCAGTGTCAGAAACATTTGTTTTGTATTTTTTGGTCCGTGTTTAGAGTTGTTTAAGGTAGAAGGGCAAAGCTTGTCACTGGTACTCAGAATGTCCAGAAGCAGGAGACCTTCCGTTGATGTTCTGCATTTCCATTATTTTGTTCAGAAGTTCATTTTGCTGCCCTGTAAGGGGTGTGGTGGTTTGGCCTTTGAGTTGAAATCATTACGAATGTTGGTCTTGGTAAGAAGTCTCTGTTGCCTGTGTAGGAAATCACCCAGTGCTGGGGAATAGTACCGTTCTATTCTCTTCTTTGTAGCAGAGAAAGCAATGTCCTAGGCAGAGGTGGTAGGGATTTTGCCCGACATGTAGCATCACTTCTTAGAATACGCAACAACTTGGCCATCAGTTTTTCTTCCACTGCGTGTGGTTTTAGGCTTATTCTTCAGCTGATGAATTCACCACCTACTCCATTCTTGGGCTGTGAATCCACAGGCTTGAATTCTGTCTTGAGAGCCAAAACTTTGCAATTGCTGAGTTGGTTGGTTTTTTGCCTGGAAAAGTTGTTAGGGCAAAATTGATACTTTGGGGAGAGAAAGAGGCAGATTTTCAGATGAAAGCTGTTCCACCCCAAATAGTATAAAAAATTTTTGGCTTATTATCTAAAGGCATGGGTAGAATTTGATGTCTCTTGAGAAAGAGAAGTTCATAAACAGTAAACTTAGTGGTGAGTGGGCATCATAAGACCACACATAAGTAGGGAAACCATGTATCTATCCTGTTTGCTAGAGACAGTCCTGGTTTACACCTGTTGTCTTGGAATAATTAACATTCCCTTTTACTCTTGGAAGTGTCATAGTTTTGATATATATATATATATGTATATGTATATATTTATATTTATATAACATATATGCATTTATATATTTATATTTATATACATACAGAGTTATCCTAGTTATAAAGAGTGGTTTAAAGAGTACGATGTAGGTGTTAATTCCCTGGTTATTATTGTCCTTGATTGATAGACTTACTGTTTACTCTGTATTTTTGTTGAATAGTTTATAGTGACTAATAAATGTGTGTTTGTGGTTTTATTTTATTTTATTTTTTTAATTTTTGGTATTTTTCCTACAGATGATCTCAATGCCACCCACCAACACTGTGTTTTGGCTGGTTTACCACCTCGGTTTAGTTCCACCCACCGAGTGGCAGAGGTAAGTGTAAATAAAAATGTGATTCAAACTTAATTGAATGTGACAGCAGTGGTTGAATGAGCAATTTTGCATGGAGTTTTGGAAGAGTATTTGATAGGAAAATTGCTTCCATCAAACTTGATGTTAGCCTTTATTTACTTGCTTTTTTAGCATTGAGTTGTGTGGGATAGAGTTTTAAAAAGTGTGTTCACAGCGTGGGATTAGTATATTTTGCTTCTTTGTGGTTCTGTTTCTTGGAGAAGGTAAAATGCTATTGGCAGGTGTTGCTAGGTAGAGATTTTCTAAGGGGTTTGTGTCTGTCAAGGTCAAGGACAGGAGATGGCCAGAAGGAAATGGGGAGAGTTTGTGTGCTTATGCATGGGTTAGCTGTGACCAGGCTCCAATGGTTGAGAATTTACATTTCCCTTAACTTTTGGGTCAGGTTTCTGGGCATGTGAATGTAAATTAAGGAGAGAGTTAACAGCAGTGCCCAGGAATTTCTGAGCTCTCCAGTTGGGTTCATAACCCAGACTTTATTGCTAAATTCTGCCACCACTTGGAATGGCTGGATAGTCAGCTGATTAGACCAGTTCACAATGGAAACCTGGGAGGTGGGAAAAACTCTTAGTAGTCACCCTGGGGGTACTGTGTGATCCATTAAGGGTGGTTCTAGAGAGCAGGGGAATAGTCATGAGAAGGCCTACAAGTTGACCTCGTATCCAAGCTTGTTATCTGTGCTTTGCTTTGTAGATTGACTTTCCGTTGTGCCACAGGGGGACCCGGGTGGGAAGTTGGGCAGAAGTGATACAGATACATTCATATACTTCTGGAAGTTCTTCTAATTAGTATACTGTTCGGAAAGCTATGTGGGGATTTGCAGAAAGTACCATAAAAATATCTTTGATCTCATAACACTATTATATTTAACAGCTAGGAAACAATTCAAAGGAAACATACATGCACACATATGAAAATGCTTATCTGGAGTGACTAAGAATAGTGAAGAGGCTGGTCAGAATGTTAGTGCCTCTTTAGGGCATGACTAGTTAATTACCTGAGTGTCACCTCAGTGAGCAGCCATCAAAAATACTTACCTTGAATACTTACATACAGAGAAAAACAGAATAGACACTGATGGGTACTTTCTGATCACAGCTGTGTGGACAAAGACTCATGTGCAGTAAAAACAATTAAAATAAGGTAAGGTGACAGGATTATGATTTTATCTTAAAATTTTTTATTTCATGTATTATTGTTGTCAGTAATAAAAGAGGGAAAATATATATATATATATATACACACATTTTTTCTAACATGAAAGTTACATTATTATTTCCCTTAAGAGAAGAGATGGAAAAAACCATGCAGTGTTGTAGCCCTCACTTATTTTGTAAATGTCCTTTCCTTTGTACAGGACTAACGTGGTATGTCTTACCTGTGCCACACAAAATGACTTGCGATTTTCTGTCCACTCAAAATATGTCAGAAACAGATTGTCTTAGAGAAGTGAGGTTCTGAATTTCATTTTAGTTAATCAGAAAAGAAATCTATTTAGTTTTTTGGTTACATGTGACTAGATTATATTTGACAGCTCTCAACTTTTATTGGATTTTTTTTTTTCTTCTGGTTGGAACAGAAGAAATCTGTTGTTCCGAATATCTTTTTAAAATTTAAATTTTATGAGTTTTATATATCATTATATTTTGAACAGGTAATTACTCAAATGATTCAAAATTCACAGAGTCCCCAAGAATAAATAGTGAAGTCTCGTTCTCATAAAGCTGACGAGCTCCTCCTCCCCAAAGGGAGCCAGTATTATCATCAGCTTCTTCTTATCCTTTCCATGATGATGAGATACCTATATAAGCAAATATGTGTTTAATTAAAAAATGGGGTTTTTATTTTAAAATATTTTATTTATTTATTTGACAGAGAGAGATCACAAGTAGGCGGAGAGGCAGGCAGAGAGAGAGGGTTTGATTCCAGGGCCCTGAGACCAGGACCTGAGCTGAAGGCAGAGGCTTAACCCACTGAGCCACCCAGGCGCCCCTAAAACGTTGTTTATACAAATGGTAGCCTACTCTACTTACCATTCTGCACTTTTGTTTTAGTAAGTCTTGCTGATAACTCCTTATCGGTATGTAATTCGGACCTCGGAGGAGGCGGTGTTTTTTTTAGATACAACACCAAAAGCACAGACAACTAAAGACAAGTAGGTAAATTGGACTTCGCCAAAGGGAAAAACTGTTAGCTTCAGGAGCGCCTGGGTGGTGTATTGGGTTGGATGTCCAGCTCTTGGTTTCAGCCCAGGTCATGACCTCAGGGTCGTGAGACTGAGCCCTAAGCCAGGCTCTACACTCAGCATGGAGTCTGCTAGAGATTCTTTCTCTCTCTCTCTTCCCCCACCCTCTCTCTCTCTCTCTCACCTTCTTTCTCTACAGTAAATAGGGGCTCCTGGGTGGCACAGTCGGTTAAGCATCTGAATTTTGGTTTCAGCTCAGGGTGATCTCAGGGTGGTGAGATCAAGCTCCACCTTGGGCTCCAAGCTCAGCACTGAGTCTGCTTAAGACTCTCTCTGCCCCTCTCCACTGTTCTCTGTCTTTCTCTCTCTCAAATAAATCAGTCTTTGAAAAAAAATAATAAATCTTAAAGAACAAACAAACAAATCTATTATGCTTCAAAAGGTTCCATCAAGAAAGTGAAAAGAGAACTTGGAGAATGCGAGAAAGTATTTTCCCGTCACTTACGTCACAAGGTACTTGTGTTTAGAGTACATAAATAAGTCTTACAGCCCAATAGTTAAAAAGGTAAATAATCCAGTAGTTTTAAATGGCAAAGGATCCGAATAGACATGTCTGCGAGGAAGATCCACAAATGGCCAATAAACACACAGAAAGATGTTGAACATCATTAGTCATCAGGTTAGCACAAAGCAAAACCACAGGAAGTTACCACTTCACACCCACTAGAGGGGCTCTAGTGAGAATCTCAGTAACAAGTATTGGTGAAGAAGCTTCAGAAATCGGAACCCTCCTGCACTGCTGGAGGGAATATAAAAATGGTTCAGCCCCTTTGGGAAACATTGTGACCTTTCCTCAGAATTTTAAACACAGTTACCTCATGACCCAGCAATTCCGTACCTGAGAGAGATGAAAACTCATACACAAACGTTGTCAGCAGCTTGACTCCTAGTAGGGCAGAAAATGGGATAATAATGAATGGAAAAGCGAAAGTCATATATCCATACAATCAAATATTTGGCAATAAAAGGGAGAGAATTACTGATACATGCTTCACCATGGATGAACCTTGAACCTTGAACTATCAGGCTCACTGCAAGAAGCCAGTCGCAAAAGAATTATACAATTTCTTTTTTTTTTTTTTTTAAGATTTTATTTATTTATTTGACAGAGAGAGATCACAAGTAGGCAGAGAGGCAGGCAGAGAGAGGGGGAGGGAAGCAGGCTCCCCACTGAGCAGAGAGCCCGATGTGGGGCTCGATCCCAGCACCCCAGGATCATGACCTGAGCCGAAGGCAGAGGCTTTAACCACTGAACCACCCAGGCGCCCCATATGATTTCATTTTTAAGAAAGGTCCTGCATAGCTAGAAATAGATTGGTGGTTGTCTGAAGCTGGGAAGGTTGGCAGAAAGGGGGCAGCAGGGGACTGCTAAGGGATACCGTTTGTTTTAGGGAGGTGACCAAAATGTTCTAAAATTAATTGTAGTGATGGTTGCGTAACTCTGTGACTGTACTATAAACAATGAAGTGTATGTTTTCACTGTGTGACTTTTATGACATGTGAATTATGTCTCAATAAAGTTGTTACCTGTCCTTGCCAAAAAAAAAAAAAAAAAAAAAAAGGCCTTATTATAGGTTCTGTACAACAAATAGAACTCTGAACACCCAGAAAAGAAAGTACCCCTCTCTTCCACCCCCCCCACCTTTTATTTTTCATTTTTGGCTGCAAGTATGGCTCCGCTGTAGTTTATTTAGTGAGTCCCCTATCGATGGGAAATTTCGGTTGTTTCCAGTCTTTTGTAATAAATGGCATTGTGATTAGTAACCTCTTATGTAGGTCATTCAGTACTTGGGCAAGTAAAGATATGAGTAGAGCATGGTTTCAGATAGAACATCATTTTAAAAGAGGTTGCCAGAGCGGCTCTGGGACGAAAGTGAGTGGTGTTTCAGCTCCACTCTTTGTCTCTCCTTCATAGCAAATTGGAACTGCCTGCTGTGCTCCCAGCACTCTGAGATCATCGTATTAAAATACGTATCAGTCAGGCTTCTGTATTCAGCACCGCAACTTTGTTTTTCCCAGGCTTACCCATGACACGTTGCATCAAATGGCAGTAACCATAGAAAGAATTTTTGTACCAGGGCATTAGCCTTCAAGGTTATTTCTAAGGGAATCTGTGTAAATTATATATGTCAAAATAGAAGTACTTTAGGGATACATTTTCCTCCCTGGGTCAAAAGGATATTTACAGCTTGCTTTTTATCATTCTAGGAAATCATGTTGTCATCAAAACCAACAGGTGCACACCCGGTCTGCAGCCTTTTCTTTTCTGACATATATCATTCAAAGGAGGAGTTGTCTGTTCGACCTCTGTTTTGCTCTCACAGACAAAGAGAGGGATGAACTAGTTAACTGTGCCCTTGCCAATACCAAGGTACTAAGTTATGCCTTTGAACATGCCTTGAGGGCACGAGCCACATATTCTCCATTATTTGAAGAACCTGTTCCACCAAGGATTGCAGCTGCTTGTTTTTTTGCAGAAAAGGAAAATGAGTTCTTTGCCCTGTGTTTATAACTTCAATCTTTTTTTCTCCGCCGTTACTGTGCCATTTTGTGGGCTGTTGAACTGAACACCTTTCTTTCCCAGGGGTAGGTTCAGGGCGCTTATAACAAAGTCAGTGTCTTTGACTTCTTGGTTCATTAGTTACTCATCCAAAAACTACTTAGGAAGTTGTTTTTTTTTTTTTTTTTTTTTTTACATTTAGGACTTGGTTCTAGATGCTGCCGTATCTGTAGGAAAAAATATGTAATAAAATGGTGTGTGGGTATGTGTATATGTGTATACATGTGTATGTGTGTTTGTGTGTGTGTGTGTGTATTTACCTATACATGTGTACATGGCTTTAGCCTCAGTGATCCTAAGGTGTGGTGATAAAAGGCCCACATTTAAAAGAAAATCAGCAAGGAGCATGGCCCAAGTGAGGCCATGCTGGCCACACAGAGCTCAGGGTGCAGGCCGCCAGAACAGTTCTTAAGTTGGATGTGGGCTGAGCTGTGGGGGCCACAGGTGAATGTATGGGGAAAGGACGAATGTGAACACCCCCCAGAAGTGTTGTACCGTAAACTTGTATTAGGCTTACGATCCTGATGGCTGGTTCTGTCTCCACAGTGCTCTGCCGGAACCTTGGATTATATCTTACAGCGCTGCCAGCTCGCTCTGCAGAATGTCCGCATCGAGGCAGACAGTGGTGATGTTTCTTTGAAATCCTTTGAGCCTGCAGTTCTGAAACAAGGAGAAGAAATCCACAACGAGGTGAGACTTTCAAGAACTGGGAAGCTGCTTGCGAGCTAACGAGTGGCTCTGCCATAATTTCATACGGGTGTGAGCCCGGAAATGCCTCCGTGAGACACAAAGAGCAGTGTAATTACTCACAAGGACAGCAGTAGCCCGAGCATCTGCATTTTTGTGCCAGTTCTGCAAGCCTCTCTCCCCGCAGGACAATGCAAAGTGGGCCCGTAACGTGGGTGCATGTAGGGCTTGTGTTATAGGAGAGGAACCTGAGACAAGGGAAGCTGAAACGTTTATAATAGGTAGGAAGCATGCCTGACCTTTGCTCCAAGCAAGATAGTGTCTTTATCCTCCAAGGCTGTTCCAATCCCTGCCCTTTGTTGTGGAGGAGAAACTGTATCTTCCAAAGGTGTTCCCTGTGCCAGACATTCTTGAGATGGGAGGCTGAGCTGGAGGGAAGTCAGTGCCTTGCTCATAAGATAGGCCGAAACCCAAGACTCATGAAGAGGTCTTCCCGCAAAGCCCAGTGGGAATCGTGGGTGGAGCCTAAGAGCAAGTGTCAATGTCTTGCTTGCTGTTTACAGAATGAGGGGCAGTTCTGCAGCCCTGTCAGACCAGCAGGATCCCACCAGCCAAGGGTTCACAAACTTTGCTACTCCCAGTAGTAACACCCTTTCTGCTTTTGCTTTATCTTTGGACCATAAATGTTGCTGTCTATTTATTACTCCTAAAAACTCAGCTCGTTTGTTTAAAAAAAAAAAAGATTTATTTATTTATTATTTTAGAGAGAGAGAAAGAATGGGAGGGGGAAAGGTGGGAGAGGAAATCCCACGTGGCCTTGCCACTGAGCACAGGGCTGGATCCCAGGACCCGGAGATCATGACTTGAGCAGAAATCGAGAGTCAAATGCTTAACTGACAGAGCCTCCCCAGTGTCCAATAACTCCACTCATTTTTTATGTAAATACATTTCTTTGAAAAGAAAGCTTTGTGTTGTCACTTGAAGTAGAAGCCAATATCACTAACCAAAAGAAAAAGGGACCAGAAAAATCTCGCCAGTGGAAACAGAGCAGTGTTACCATTTTCCAACAGGTTGCCTTGCTGGAAGGCTCTGAGCCTCAGGTCTCCATTCTCCATGAGAGAAGAGAGATTCACACACAACTTCTTGTGTTTTCTAACAGTCATTGAATGTTCTTCTTCAAATGGGTGAATTTTGTCATGGGTAAATTATACCTCAACACAAAAAACATCAGAAGGAAAAAAGAGATTCCCAAGTGAGAGAGAACTGTTGAAGGTTATCACCCATCTGCAACTTTCTCTTTGCTAGAATTGGAAGGATTGATGGAGAATTTGGAGTACAAAAATATTCTCTTTCTTCCTTTCAAAAAGTAATGACTGACCATGTGTCTGGTACCTTCTGTGTGCTTTAGGATACCAGTTTCCAGACTGGGTAAGGGACAGTCTAGTTTGAACGGTGGGAGCGGGGCTCTGAGTTAGAGGACATGAGGTCACAGAGGTGGTATTAGGGGACAGGAAAGCAGCAGATCCTATCAGTCCTTGGAGATCCCTATCAGGACAACCACTCTCCTGTTTACTTAGAGGGAAATGGAAGCTATTGAGGACTTTGGAACAGAGGAGAAACGATGTCTGCTTCCACAATATCGTGTAATGTCTTTAAAGAGATATTTAGGAACCTTTGAACTGCTCCACACTTTGTGAAGCATTGGCATAATCTCCAGAACCAAAGACAAAGGAATTCTGCCTTACTTACTGTACTCAGGACTGACTTTCTTCCCTTCATTGTGCCTGATAAGTGTCCCATTTTCTCTCCTCTCTGTCCTTGCTAGAGACATTGCTGATAGCTAGAAGTTCAAGAAAGATAAGCGTTTATGGGCCTGGTGACCTCCCTGAATGAGACTTGGGAGCAAAGTTATGTCTTTCTCCATATTTATAGTAAAGAAATCCTGATCTTAAAATGTAAGTCTTTTCCTTCTCTACAAACCTGGTGATGTTAGGATTCAGACTCACAAAATGGGGGTTCTCTTTAACACTCACATGGGCTCTTCTGGCCCCTGTGCTTCTGGTCTTCTGTGACTGACTGTTTTGTTAACATCAACTGGTGGGGGCGGTCTGTAACAATCACCTTGTTTATCTACCAGTAGAATATTGTCATCTGAATCCATTAGCCTCAGAAAGTGACTGGCTGCTTTTGACATTGTATACGTTAGCGAAGTGGGATAGAGATATATCAGAAACCTTAGCCCCTTGAGACTGGTCTGGGGTTGAAGGGAAAGAGAGATCTTGGATCTAAATAGCGTGCGTGCTCATCTTATCCAGTCCCCCGATCTTTGATTCTTCAGGGCCATCAAGAATGATTGCATATGTCAAGGCATATCGTTAGATCCTAGTCTTTGGCCATACACCCTGGCCTGGAATGGAGCACTGGCATGCCGGCTTTCCACCATGTCCCGTGGTTAAAGCAATAGCACACTTGTCCATAATAGTTCCCTCGGGTTCTTTATTGTTTGCTTTCCTCTTTCTTAAAAGCCATGTGTCTTTGCTGCACCACTTACAGGACGAAGCCCTTGGTTTTATGTGCTGCTGGCTTTCAGGCTATCTGGGTGTAGACATGGCTTGTATTTCCTTAGATGGTTTCTAACCAAGTGATTTGGGAACTTGGGGGAGTAGAATGGAATACCTTCAGTTATTTTTTCCTCATTTAAGATGCTTAAGCAAAGATTTTTTTGTTCAGTTGGAAGCAGGATCTTCCTGCATGTTTTTAAATACTCTGTTTTCCTTCTTAAAAATAGTTTGGTCTGGTCAGACCTGCATCTTTTTTTTTTTTTTTTTGACAGACAGATCACAAGTAGGCAGAGAGGCAGGCAGAGAGACACAGGAGGAGGAGGCAGGCTCCCTGCTGAGCAGAGAGCCCGATGCGGGACTCGATCCCAGGACCCTCAGATCATGACCTGAGCCGAAGGCAGAGGCTTTAACCACTAAGCCACCCAGGCGCCCAGACCTGCATCTTTTTAAAGTCACTTTGAAAGGGCCTTTGAAGTGTGGCTCTTTGTACACTGGACAGTAGCATCTCTCCCTGGTCTCACGTCTTTCTCAATGAGATAACTTATGATGACAGGGAGACACGAACCCCAGTGGGCCTGTTCACACCTCTCATGAGGGAACTACGTGAGCTGAGCTGAGGCCACACGAAAAGCCCACCCTAACGTGGCAGAAGAAAAGGAGGTGACAGTTGCTTCCGTGTAAGAGAATGGAGATGATTTACAATATGTGGTGATGTAGGAACTCAGAAATATGATTCTGAAGTTTACTGCTGAATGCCCAAGGTTTCGGGTAGGCAGGTTTCTTCCCCTTCAGACTCTTCTTAGACATCTTTTAGGAGAAAAAAAATGTTTCTTTCTTTCTTTTTTTTTTTTAAAGATTTTATTTATTTATTTGGCAGAGAGACAGATCACAAGTCGGCAGAAAGGCAGGCAGAGAGAGAGAGATGGAAGCAGGCTCCCTTCTGAGCAGAGAGCCTGATGTAGGGCTCGATACAGGACACTGAGAGCATGACCTGAGCCAAAGGCATAGGCTTAACCCACTGAGTCACCCAAGTGCCCAGAAAATGTTTTTTGATTGATCTTTTAGACTGTTCCAGGTACAGGTTAGTTACGAGGGTTTTAAGAAATGGTTTTCTGAGTTGGTTATGAAGCTGACACTGTGGACCTATTTTCATATTTCTCTTGATGATTCACACGGCCCTTCAGGAACCTGCAAGGCCTCCAGATTGTCGATAGGCTTTGGGTAAATACCCGGGGGCATTGCTTACCTTTGTGTTGCATTGGCCCAAAAGATTGAATCGCAGTGAATTTCCTTTAACGGCGAGTCCAAAATCTGGGAGTTTGGTTCACGAGCATCCTGAACTCTGAGAGAATCTCAAGAGGGTTCCTTTGTGTTGTCTCCCCGAGGCTTGCATCTTCGGGGGTCTGCATCCCCCATGGCGTGTTCTCGGCCTCAAGTCAGCCACAGCCCTCCTGATGGCTGTCTCTTATTTCTGATCTGATAGTTATGAGCTTCCCGGGGGCGCCGGACCCTGGAGAAGGGATGGAGACCCTACTCCTGTCATGCTTAGAACTTTATCTTTTCCTTTCTGAGCCCCACCGTTTAGGGAGAAAAAAAAATAACTTCTTTTGCTTGGTTGTTATTAATTATTATTTTGTAACTCAAACTCCAAATCAAGGGGCTGGAAATCTTTTTTGCTTCCTTAATTACTTTTACGAAAGTAGCCAACGGCTTCTCTCGGCAGTGGGGGAAGTGGTTGAGGGTGACATTTGCTTCAAATCCTGCCGTGTTTTTTGCCCATGACACTGAGACGAAAAAGTCAGGTTCTAGAGTTAAATAAAATGCATGCCAGTGGATTTGCTGCCCAGAAAGATCATCATCTCCTGGGCAGTACTTCAGCTCATGAATAAACCTCCGCTGGGAGCAAGTCCTCAGTGTTGAACTTTCCCAACTGGCCTCAGTGGGAGGCGGGTGGGCAACAATTGACATGGATGTTAAAACTTTTCCTGCTAAGAAAATCTTATCAGATTGTGAGATCCTTGGGGACAAGTTCTAGGCCTCATGGCCTCGCTCAGTTTGCTTTCCTAGCATCTAGCAAGTGCCGGCATTTAGTAGGCTGTTCACTATTCGCTCACTGATCCTCACCCCAATCCTCTTTGTGGTTGTTACGTAATGATCCTTACTTACAGGCGATGACCACCCCCCCCCCCGCCCCTTGGTAACGGAGCCCTTATTCTTCCTCATGGCACCGTCTGCTTCAAATGACAGCTGGGCATCTGAGGAGGAAGACAAAATCAAGATTTATTAAAATGGACAGAGTCTTTCCTTTCTTGGCTGATAGCACACTCTCTAGGTATAGCCCCTCTCCTGCCTTCTGAGTTTTAATTTACCGAAATCTAGACTTGGGTATACCCTGATAGGTTGAATGAACTAGTTACGTAGGATAATCGATTTTCTTTCCTGGGACCCCACGGTAGCCGAGCCTTACATGTTTTGTCCCCATCAACGGAAATAACCAGCCCCCGAAATAGGAAGACCTTTTAAAATCTTTTCAGCTCTCTCTGACATAGGGTGTGATGACATGCTCATGGGCTGTTCCTGTAGCGTGAACACACTTCATGCAAAGTCTCTTAAAAATAACTCGTCTCGGGGTGCCTGGGTGGCTCAGTGGGTTAAGCCGCTGCCTTTGGCTCAGGTCATGATCCCAGGTCCTGGGTTCAAGCCCCACATCGGGCTTTCTGCTCAGCAGGGAGCCTGCTTCCTCCTCTCTCTCTGCCTGCCTCTCTGCCTACTTGTGATTTCTCTCTGTCAAATAAATAAATAAAATCTTTAAAAAAAAATAACTCGTCTCTTAATAACGTTGTCAAACCGGTATCTTCAGAGAAGTTGAACTACACTTGTATTCGCTTTCCCTTCAAAGCACTCAAGTTTACTTCTGTTAACAGCTGTCTCTTAATATCACAGATAAGGTTCAGCAACTATTGTCTTAATATTGTCTACATTCCTTTTTTTTTTTTTTGTTTAAACAGCTTTAACTGAAATCAGTTCTACATATCAAACAAACATTGAGTTAATGTAAACTGAAACCCTTTCATATGACTGGGTGTTCTCGGGTTAGTTATTTGAGTCATTTTCACCATTGTTAAATCTTCACAAGTTGCTTTTGTTTGCCTCATGAAAGTTCAATATGGATAAACACAAAAATTCTTTGTGGTAACAGGTAAAGATTATAATAGTTTGTCTATATAGGGAACATGATTACCTTAGCAAAGCCAGACAACCCAACATTAAGCTGTGAAAGCTCTCTACTTCTTTAGACGGCAGAGGTAAGTAAAAAGAGTTTTGGGGGAATAAATAGAGTTGTAGTTTGACAGTAAAATTTGATTTTTTTCAAGTTGAAGATGAGCTTTTGAAGATATGGAAAGTGGATAGAAAATAGTTTCTTACCCTTCCAGAGCTTTACTCAGCCTCTCATCTACATGCATAGGATTATTTCAGTTGCAACAGAGAAAACTGACTTGGCTTAAGTAGAAAAAGGCTTCAGGAACAGCTTGATCAAGAGCCAGGTGATATCACCAGTACCTGGTTTTTTTCTTCTTTTTATTTTGTAGTTACTTCCTACTTTGTTGTCTCCATTTTCCCCTGTTTGGTAGTGAAATGGTTGTAGAATTCTCTTCCTGAATCTTCTCAGTGTTCAGACTTACTGTGATTGAACATACAGTGATTACCCCCAGACCTGATTCTGTGACTAGAGAAATGTGGTGGGCTGATTGGCTGACATTGGGGTGGCACATTCTACCCTTGGTATTGGGGCTGGAGCTCTCCCCAGACCACATGGACTGGGACTGGGGAAGGGGGTCAGTTAATGAAGAGTGGGGTTTTGCTAGAATAGAAGGAGGAATGCTAAGGCAGCAAATAATAATCATAATAATAACCATAGTAGGTTCATAGGAAGGAAAAGCAATTATTAATGTCTTTGTTGTTCTTTCTACCTGTTGTCATGTGCCCTGAGTTGAAAAGTACCAGTTTGAATGGCTGTAGCTTTAATACACACCCCCACAATTAACTCTCTATTATTTCATTATAAGAGCTGGGATTCTCACCAGCTCCTCCTGGCCCATGGTAAATTCTTTATTGATTTTAAATCTAAGAAACTTGAAATTGGTACCTTTTAATATGTGTCTGTGTTTTGCTCTAAAATACTAGTCTTTAATAAAGATGTTTAATAAAAAACGATCTTGATTATATCTTCCCAGTCATACACAGTGTAGGCTGCTGTATATTTTAGGATCTCAGTATTTGTGTTTTTTTTTTGCTTTTTTTTGTAAAATTCATTTTAATTAATCAATTTTTTTTCAGGATTTGTTGACGAACGTATAGCTTCCTCACATCTGACTAATAAATGCGATGGAAAACCCCTCTCCAAACCCCAACAGTGTTGCCTTGCTAAGAGGACCTCAGTTTTGAGACTCTTTTCTTGGCTTTGCAGAAATGCTCTGGAGACTCCAGGTTTTACTGGAAGCTGTCTAGGCTCAGCTTTTCTCACCTTTTCTCACCCTGTGGCAATTAAGTGACCAGAGGAGAATCGAGTGATGACATTATTGTCCTTGATTGTCTCTCACGAGGGCATTATAAGCCTTCTCCTTATGGTCCCTAGGTCGAGTTCGAGTGGCTGAGACAGTATTGGTTTCAAGGAAATCGATACAGAAAATGCACTGATTGGTGGTGTCAACCCATGGCTCAACTGGAAGAACTGTGGAAGAAGATGGAAGGTGTGGTAAGTACATGAGGTCCGGGGCCATATTTTCTGGGATGTTCTCTGTGTAACTCCTTGGCTACCTAATTTGCATAGGAAAATACATAATTCATTATTCTAAACTGCTGAGTCAGGTAACTCTTGGTAAGGAACAGGCCCAGTTTTGTCTGTACAAGGTCAGTTTAGTTCAGTGAGTGTTTTATCGGGTATTTCCAACGTACAAGGTGCCATGTTGGAACACGTGCTAGGAAGAGCCATGGAGGGAACAACACTGCAGATAGAAGATCTAAAATTCATTTGTATTTTCAGACTCACCAGGCACCATTCTAAGGGTTTTCCCGTACTAACTTCTGAAATTCATACAACAGCCCTACAAAGTGTAGAAACCCTTATGAGTCTTAATTTATAGATGTGAAAACTGAGACATTGAGATATTAAGTGCCTCGCCCAAGGTCACAGAGTAAAGTGACTGAGTAAGATGGAGACCCAGGCAGTTTGGCTCTGTGGCTTGTGCTCTTAACCGCTACATTCATTTAACAAGGAGAGAGACATGAATGTAGCCAGGTGTTATATTAGCTAAAATGAAAGCCTGTAATAGAGATTAAAAGAAAAAAAAATCACAGTCCAGAGGAGGGAGTATTAAATTCAGAGCACTGGACCTGGACTGTTGTGAAACAGCAGATGTGGCTTTTTGGGGACTTTGGATGGGGAGGAGTAGGGTCAGATAGGACATTGGGAGAGGAACATTGGGGTCCAGGAAGTACACTAATAAGATTGCACATGAGGAAGGACAGACAGCCCGCCCGGAGCAAGGAGTCAGGGGATATAGTTGGAAATGTAGCCGGAAGGCGAGTTGAGGCCGCTTGCAAGTTTTGAATTAAGTCTTAATTTAAATAATAGTAATAATAGCCGACTCTTATGTGATACTTATGAAGTACCAGACACTGTTCTGAATGTTTTATGTATAACTTATTTAACTTTTATGACAACCCCATAAAGTAAGTCTGATGGTTCTCTATTTCATAAACCAGGAGACTGAACCCCAAAAGGTTTACATAACTTCCTCAAGATCATACAGCCCTTGAAGTGAGGGAACTGGGATTTGAACTCAGGAAGGCTGGCTCCGAGGGTCATGCCCTCCACTACGTCGCCATCCTGCCTCCAAACCGTTGACTTTGGAACATAGTGGAGAAGTGATAAAAACCTGCCAAACTTGAGACGTGGTACCCCTGCACAGACTGGGAAGTGTGCTGGGAACAGTGAGCTGGTGTGCAAAAATGCATAGCTGGTGCTCACCTCTATTTTAGAATAATGAAAATATCAAGTCACAACCCAGAAGGAGACTTCGTTTGAAAGTCTAGGTCAAAATCCGGAAGTCCTTGCTTTCCAGACCTCTCCTCAGATCTTTAAATCATGCCTTTTCACGGATATATATCTGAGGAAGGAATGTTATCATCCTCCTTTTCTTGTACTAACAGTATCACAAAAATGGATTTCTCCAAAGACCGGAGTCCCAGTAGAGAACTGAGCATTGTAAAATCGAGTTGGAGGTAATGAAAAGTCCATGCCTTAATCTCCTTAGTTCTGTTCCTAAAATTCGCCTGTGTGGAGTATGCTTCATTTTTATGGGATGTATATATGAAGGCGGCTTCAGTTTCAGGGAATTTTTTACTGTGCTATTCTGGTTTTGTCCATTCACATAAGAGTTAGAAGGACCTCTTTATTTGCCAGACTTGGATTCTAAGACATCAGGTTGACTTTGGGATTGTAATTTGACAGTTCCACATTTTAGAAAATTCAAATTGGCAAATAAATAAGAAAGGAACTCATAGATTTTGTAAAAACAAACAAACAAACAAACAAACAAAACCAACCTAAAAGAAACTTTGCATCGTTTCTGTTCGAGGTTTTGTTTTTTTTTTTTTCTTCTTCTAAAGCGTAGTCTTCGGTATTGTGAACTTCCTGATTCTATTCGTTATGAATTCATTTAAAAGCTTTAGTTATAATTTCTTTTTTTAAAATCAGGCCAGGGCACATTAGTTAGGTGGAATATTTCCTGGTTCCTTCATGACGCTTGTGTAAAAAATACCAAGAAGAAGAGCAGACTTGGGAACACTCCAGAGCGAGTTTCCTTGCCGTTAGAGTGGCATTACTGAATGTTCTGAGTGAAATCAATGGCCCCAGTGTCTCTCCTCAGCCAGCCTCAGGGTGATCGTTATCAGCGGAGTGAAGGTTTGGGCCAAGATAAAAGGGATGATACTTCTAAATTAAATTTAAGCATGGCTTCAAGCCTCTCTGAATGACTTTTAACAAATTCATAATAATTTATTTCTGCTATTGGAAGAGACAGAAGATAATAATCACTGGGAAAGTCTATGGTTCTGTGGCTCTGTTAGTGTGCGGCCATCTGGTATCTGTGTGCTGGGGGGAGGGTGTGTTGGGGGGCAGCTGGCACCCACCGCCTTGATTTCCTCCTGTGTACCAGCCCACCTCGCATGTTTGCAGTTGCAAGCAGTAGGGGGCAATGTTGAGCCACCAGTGGGAGGCCTCAAGATGCTGGCCTTTCAGGAAAATGCATATAAATGTACCATTAACTGTCAAGAATTATCCCTGTTGCTTCAAGTTAGCTGTAATCTCCAAGATTCCATAACACAGGAAATCAGTTGTGGGTTAACAAATTCAACAGCAATTTAACATAAAAAGTGCAGTGTTTGGTGCACATTTGGATTCTATAGAATTAGACTAATCTGAACAGCATTTCTGAACGTACTCGCTTTGCTTCCGGGGAATATATTACTCAAAATTATTATCCTTTTGGACAAATGATTCTTCTTTATCTCTGTGCTTCCCCCCCCCTAATTTGTAAAACCATGTGCGTGTTGTGGAAAGACTTCTCTAATTAACGTATTTTGTGTTTTGCACGGTATGGTTGATATCTGTTGGTCAAAACAAAACAAAACAAAAAAATCTCGGGTGATATGTACATTACTTTTCACCTTTTGCTTTTGAGTACAGCAACCTCTGACTGGCCCTGGTACCAGGGAAGAGACTGGTGGTGTGATTTCTGTCCATCTTGGTGTTTTTTTTTTCCACTTTGTGGTTGGAAGGTGTAGTCTCAGGTTGGATACAGAAGAATGGAAAATGAGCTTTGAAATCACATTTCTTCCCTTAATGGTAATTGCTTCTTCACATGTCATAACCAGTTACATATTTCAGAAAGTTCAGTCCACTGCCTCTAAAACTCCTCTAGCCATGACTTCCCATTCTCTGTTCCAGCAAGCACTGTCCTTATCACACTGTTTTTTCTCGCCACTTCTATCCCCTCCCCGTCCTCTCTACCCCAGGACAGTTTTACTCCCCGCTTGCTCTTGTGATGTAAATGTTAAACCTTATATTTGAATGACATTCTGATAAAATATCACATTTTCCCTGCCTATTACCTCATGAATTTGTGAGCCATGAAGCCCAAAGCTGCACAGCCCTTTCACATAACCCAAGAATGTAGCCTTGCCTTTTCCCCTCATCTTTGCTCTCTGTTCAGGATGGTGGTATAACCCTGGAACGCTATTCAGATATTTGTATTTTATTTTAGTTTCTTAAACCAACCCACCACCTCACAGCCAAGATTAGTGTATTATGAGGCGACTCTTCAGGATAAGAGAGAGTTACCATTTGAAAGACACTGTACAAGCTTTGCTTTCTGGGTAAAGAGAAGTATGAAAAGCCGAAGTCTCCTGTGAGGTGAGGAAGTCTTGCTGTAGCCAGAGATTCAACGGATAGGCCATTTGTCTCTCAGGGTCTGGTATCGCACTTTGCAAAACTGACATTTATTTTACCTATAAAAATGTTTTAACACCATCAAATTCACAATGATACGGAAAAGAATACTGCGTGTGATGGCCTCGAAATTGATGACATTTATTCATTTCCCTTTGACCTTAAAAAACAAAAGGTCAATTTAGTATAATCCGGTGGAAATATTCTAAAATAGTTTCCAGAGTAACATTTTCAGGAGTACAGATGATTGATACTGGAGAGAAATTTCTTCATGCCTTTTTTTTTTTTTTTTTTTTTTTTTTTAAAGTGCCTGTTTCTTTTAGAAGAGAAGAGTAGAATCCTGATCATTTTGAATGTTTTGAATTGCATTTCCTGTCCTGACAGTTCTTCATGCTGGGATAACTGCATCTATGTGGCCGTTGGCCTTCCTAACTTTTATTGACTTTAGTGGGAAGGAGCCAAGACTGGATCATTTTAATGTATCCGTTTTGAAACAGCGTTAAAACACAACATATAATTACGTTAGGTAAGCTCTAGGTTGCATTAAATTCTACCCATTTACGTTAACAGTTTGGCACAGGAGAGCAGAGAGACCTGGAAAAACGAGTAGGTGTTTTATTTAATTCTGTGACCAGTTTCTCATTGTTAAAAGTTTTAAGAGAGAAATGTACTTACGAATGTCAAGGTTGTCCTTTACAAGTTGGTACTAATAGTTTAATTTCGAGATGCGTTCCTGCATTTTCCCTTGTCATTTTGGCCTGTGTAAATCATCTGGGAGAGCTCATGCCAGGGGCCTGCCCATTGCTGTCTGCTGGAGCCTCTCCTCCAGCAGGTGACCCAGTCCGAGGCAGGGATGGAGGCAGGGATAGGGCGGAGGGGCGGTTTGTTTGTTTTCAGAGAGATTAACGAAGCTCTCATCTCAATGCTTTAGATTAAATTCTTGGTAACTGAATAGAGGAACAAGGCTGATTTTTCATACACTGAAATATATACTCAGTATCTCCGCATTGGCTATTCTTTTACAGTTTAGTTAGCTAAATTCATTTTAAGCTTTCTTTCAGGATTAAAGATTTTGGGGGGTATGAGGAAGAAAAGGATATAAATATTAATTTTCTGCTTATGTTAATTGTGAAGTCACCAACTTATATTTATATACGTGTGTATAAATATGTGTGTATATAAATACGTCCCCTTTAGTGTTCATGTATGATACTGAATAATATTTGCAAACATGTAATCCCCTC